AGAGCTGCTAGATACAGATTTAAAGTAATGTCTGTTTCAGCTTTCTGAGTAGACAATATTAGATGAAGTGTAAGTGTAAGGGTATAATAATATATAATATTACATATTTTTTGTTTTAGGGATACCACTGTAGTCAAGTTATATTTGATTCAAAACAGACTTGTTTCTTTCAGAATAATATATTTTGTTTGTCCATGGTAATGCAGGATGTACAGAGCAATCCACATGGATTAGGAGGAGCAAAAATGGTAAGTTACAGGACCATCATTACTATGGCAATGCTTTTGCTTCAGGCAGTCAATTCCAAAACAGTCTTGGCTTCACTCCTCATCTCTCTGTACCAAGCAAACAGACTGAAGGCATTTTCATCCTAAATACAAAAAATATATTTTGTTAGTACGAGGAGACTAGCATGTCTCATCTGAGCAAGGCATGCACCACTGGAAGAAGCAGAGATAGCTCTTAGCTATTCTGTCTGTGCTCATGCTGTGAAAACTGGAAAAAGGTCTGTTATTCAGGAGGGGTAGAAGTGAGAGCTGATAAAGTCAAGATTCCTGTATGCGAACATCAGAAGAAATATTTGAAGGATCACTGGGCAGCAGGCATTGGGCTGCTCCTTGTGACACAGGAGTTGGTCTCTTCTATCATGCTTTGAGCTCAGTCATTAGCACATCAATTACCAACATGATAATTTATATTAATATAGGACTACAATAATTGCTACCATAAATTTCTGTTTGATCTCTCTAATGAAAAGCTAACTGCATTCTTTATCCTCGAAATAGGTAACATTTCATGTTAGATAAGCAGGCTTCTGCTTCTGCCATGGGAGTTTCTTTCCCTTTGCACACCTTTCCCTCCATTTGCTCTATATGGTCCCCCAACTATCTGGGCCAGATATGAGGGAACTATGGGGGATCGCAGGGGAAAGAGAAATGCACTCAATGGAGTCTCTCTGACTAGAAGAAGGATACCCTTGGATGCAGCCCAGTCTTTTCCCCATTGAACAACCTTGATTGTGAACGCTTCTATGATTTGTGCATATACTTACAGGCTATTGGAAATTAGCATCTGAATGTACTTAAATAAATAATAAATAGCCCCACAGCACTTTGCAAATTTCTGTTTACATGTGTCCGCCATGCTACATTACCATGTTTATGAAAGCAGGAGAGTTCCCTTTCCAGATAGGTGCAAACTCTTGGGTACAGTATATTTTTTTAAGCTCCTACAACTATGTATGAGATGGGCTTACTTGATTTACCTTATAGGAAGTTTAACTAATACTTTTGGGAAATAAGAACCTAAATATGTTTCATGCATTACATATGCATAGTGCTACCTAGTGCTGATAGTGAGATCAGCAACATATGCCCTTCTCCAGGAACCCTCTGTGAATGATATTAGGAGGGTGAGTACCCGGAGGAGGGCCTTCTCTGCGGTGGCGCCCCACCTATGGAATGCGCTCCCCAGAGAGGTCCGCCTCTTATTTATTTTTCGGCGCCAGGCTAAGACCTTTTTATTTAAAACTTATTTTAAGTGTTAATTTGTTGTGTAGGATTTTAAAATTTTGAAGCCGAGATGCACTGGGTTTTAATATTTTTATGGTATAACTTTGTTTTTGTTGTAAGCTGCCTCGAGGCTTTTTTGTGATGGGGGCAGCATAAAAATGTTTTAAATAAATACATACATACATACCTAAGAATGTAAGAAGAGCTCTGCTGAATCAGTCCAAAAGTATACCTCATCCAGCATTTTGTTCCCTCAGTGCCCACCAGATGTTAATGGGAAGGACATGAATGCAACAGCTTTCCCTGCTTGGATTTTCCAGCAACTGGCGTACAGAAGTGTATTCCCTCTGATACTGGAGGTAATACATAGCCATCATGGCAAGTAGCCATGGATAACCTTGCCCTCCATCAAATATATACTTTTTTTCTTAATGCTTTTTAAATAAAGCATTTAAATAAAGCATTTGAAAGCATACTTTCAAAAGGAGTAGAAACATCTCAAAAATTCTGTGAGGTTCTATGCTTACATTATTAAATGAGTTTAAAGTAAAAATCATGGGCAATTTAAAATTTAAATTATGTCCTAATTAAAATACTAGCCAGCATATACTTGGGCTCAGTCTAGTTCACTGGAGGTAACAGCAGCATGTACAGAGGGATCTCAATAGGTTGTAACAGAGCCATGTTTCTTCCTGAGGTGTATATGGAAGACTGCAGCAGACCATAGGGAATCAAAGGCATGCACATCTGGATCACCATTCAGCCTGCACCTCCACTTGTGTAAGGAATATAAGTTCCAGGGGTCATGACAGGCACACACAGGTCTCCCATTTCCTTGTAACAGCTTGTGCCTCATTGTAGATGGAAGAAGGAAAGTTCAACAGGCTCATGCTATATGAGTGTTACCTGGATGTCACACTAACCCACAGAAGGCCCTATGTTCTTACTTGCATATTCTCTTCTTGATGATGAGAACTGTTTGAAAAGTGCACAGTGGATCATTACACTTTATTACAGTTTGGAAAAGTAATTTGACAATTTGGACAACTACAGCTGTGTAAAACTAGGATATATTTGCAATTATGAAATTACAATTGTTTATCTACCAGAGTATACATTAAAAGACCCACCTGAAAACATATTGGCTACAATCCAATGGAAGACAGCAGGAATGGGATATAAGAACATCTAATTAGTTATTTTTTTCCTGTAACAAATTCCTTAATAAATGATGGATATGGTCCCTTTCTGCTTAGAGACAGAATCCAGTGTAACATGATGATGTAATCAAAGTTAAAAACTCTAGGCAAACAAATTTCTAAACCCTACATTTTTTAGTGAATATTTCAAGTGAAGCAACATTTATCTAAGTGTCATTATCACTAGGCTGCTTTTTCTAGTCTGAAGATACAATGTTTAAACATTTACAGAATTGTATGTCTTTAAAATACTGAAGTGTTCACAAAAAGAAATGGAACTTTGCCTGAATCTGAATTTTAAAACTCATTTTGTTTTAATGCTGCATAATAGATGGAGTAAGTGGGATAGCTAAATATAATGTATTCATTCATTGTTCATGAACTGTGGTAGTAGGTAATCTGTATTGTAATATTCACAGGATTTATTTTGTTTAATAAAGATAGAACTTTTGATGGTTTGTCATGCAAAAGGAGTAACAAAAACATCTAATTGCTATTTATCTTGCATCCTCATAGCACATTCCCTCCAAATTAACCTGAGGGATACAGCAATCCTATATCTTCTAGATGTTGTCAGACCCGCCATTAAATTTTAGAATTTAGACTTTGCTCTGACCTCAGACCTGATTAGAGTGCAGATTGTCTATTCCTGCACTATAACAGCTGATGTGGAAAGAACCACATTGGTTGCTCTCCAAGGCTGGAAAAGTGACCTTGGAGAGGGGTAGAAGGAGGTGTTTTGTGGGGTGAAATGGGGAGGGAAGGAGACTAGGGATACCAGGATACAAGGACCAACGTCTTTCATTTGCCCTCTATTTTTGCCATCTGGAATATATCCTCCCTCTCTGCACTGGATGGGTGTGAGCCTTTGAGTGTGTGGGGTTCATATTTATCTCCCCAGAATTGTCCCCTAACTTGTACTGATGATGTTTCAGACTGTGATCTGGAAAATATGCAAAATTGGAAATGGTAGTCCCATTCACCTGGGTTCAAGAATAGCCTATGAGTGTTGGATTACCCCCATCCTTTTGTTTTTACTGTTTCATTCTAAATTGCATTTATCTCATGCTTCATGATCATTTCACCCTTCTTGTACAGCACTTACTAGAGTAATATTTCTTTAAAAACATTCCCATGCCTGTAGGCTTGTCCAGATATCGTTTATTTGCTTGTGGGAATGATTAAAGTGGCAGATAAAAGTTAAACTGCCTGGAGGAAGGATCCTGAAAACCCTGCTAAAAGTAATTCATTCTCTTTGATATAGCTGCTTACACTCAGCTGAAAGTCTTCAAAGTCTTTGTCTGGACAGGCTACAGATGTGTGCAGTGAGAGTAGTTTTTCAAAATACTAAGACAATGATTTTACAGCTGCATGAAAAATGCAGCATTTATATCTTCTTAAATTTTATTTTACATATGGGTGCTTCCCCCAGGTTTGGTTGTACTGGAGCCAAGATATATACTGAAAATCTTATTTTGCTCTAAATTCAGAACAAGAAAGAAATCTTTTTTGGCTTTTAGCCAAGCCATTAAAAGGGAGAGAAAGAAAACACAGTGTCCATACACATTTTTGTTGGCTGTTTAGGCTTGCTTTGAGGGCATGAGTATGTTGCTCAAAAGTGGGATTTATATTGCACCGTCAATGTGTATGGCAAGTTGTAGAGTAACACAACTGATTTTTGGTGTCTGGTTTGAGGCACTGGCATCTTAATAGGAAATGCACATACGGTTCCCATGGCTTTGCAACATCTAGATTTCTGTCTCAGTGATAATTTCATGATGAATATTCCCCAATTACATCACCACATAAACTAGGTATCATACTCTGTGTCTGTATAATAACTTGATTTACCTCCTATGTTTGCTATGGTATCTTTTAAACAATGTTATCAAGATGTATAAAAAACAGTATTGCTTGTTTTGTTTCTTATGCATGATATAAAATATATTTGTTGATGTTCAATAAGTTTCTATGCCCATTTTTCCAAACTTCCCTTAAATTTCTGTTGCATACTATTCTTGAAATGTATTCGGTGTCTAAAGCTCTCTCTCACACACACTCTCCATGTGTAATTAAACCCACTCAAGAATTAATTCAGACAAAATGCATTAAGAAGGGTTTTTTTAAGCATTAAGAGGCTTTAAGAGCTAAACATACAAATGTGCAACACTGCCCTAAATCTTACCCCACATCAACAACTCTGTGAGGTAGAGAGTTGGGCTGAGAGTTTTGTGACTGGTCCAAAGTCACCCAGTTGGCTCCATGGCTGAGCAGGGACTAGAACCCAAATTGCCTGAGTTCTAGGCCCATGTACTTAACCACTGTGCCACTCTGGTTCTCAAAGTTTATATGATAAATGTTAGGGTTGGACCTGATTAAATAATCTTAGTAGATTAAGAGTGTGATCCTATGCATGGAAATATCTTACCATTTCCAGCATTCTGTAGTAAGCATCTGGAGAATGATCTTCATCTCCCTGACCTCCCACCCTGCGGAGTTTGCTAGATGAGCTTTTTAGCCTGTCTAGCAATTGTACGTTGGAGAGGGAGGGAAGGAGGCTGGAAGAGGCTAAGATAACTTGTGTCCTGAATTCCCTGGTTCTCTTCCCTACCTACCAGAACACCTCTTTTCTGCCTCCTTCTCCAGGGTAGTTTTCCTGACCTTGGAGGATAGCTAGTATGGTTCTTTCTGTGTTGGCTATGAGGGGTTGGACTCAGGCTCCTACTTTTGAGGTTGGAGGGCTTTCTCTGGGATGGTCTTCCAAGGACCATAGGATTACTCTCTTACAGTGCAACCTGGTTGATTGTTCCCTTGGTCCTAAGTCTCTAGGCTAGGTTTTCAGCTGAGGCAATTTGGTAAGGGAGGGAAAGAAACTGGAACACTACCAGGGACCTTCTAGCTTGGTGGCCTTGGTCTGCTCACCTTCTTGCCTCCTTTAGCACCTCTCTGAGTCAATTTCCCAACCTTGGAGGAACAGCTAGTGTGGTTCTTTCTGTTCTGGCTCTAAGAGGGCACGAGTGGCCAGATCATTATTTTCACCTTTCAGTCTAGAAATTCAAAGTATCCTATGGCCTGCATATTGTCTAGGAATCATAGTATTACTTTCTTAGTCAATTAATGGACATTCTGGCTGGAAATGATGGGAGATTTAGTCTGGCACATCTGCTGAACAGTAGATTGGGAGAGGCTGGTCAAAGGAGTATTTCTTGTACTTGAGGGAATGTCCCTTTTAAGGTGGTGCTATACATCTATTTTTATAAGAACTTGTGTGAAAAATATTAAAAAATTAAAATTCTGCTGACTGATTTTAAAAAGTTGAGTCTTTAGACAATCAGATTAAAAATAGATTAGTCTAACCAATTAATTGTCTTGCAGTGCAATCTTATTTATGCTGCTCAGAAGTTAATCAATTAATGAGGTTTACTCCCAAGTAAGTGTGAATTGGGTTGTCGCTAAAGCTGCAACTCCAAACAGACTTGCTAGGGAATAAGCCCCTTCGAGGTCAGTCAGAATTCTATTGAGTACATTGCATAGGGTTATACTGTCAAAATGTTAACAAAGCTTTAATATGAAAATGTTCATAGATAAGACAAATTAGTTGTCTTTTCCACATATCCTTCTTCTTAGGATAACTGATGTGGCCTGATGATGTGGACAAGGTGCTTAGACGAGTACATCCCACCACCTGCTTACTTGACCCTTGCCCGTCGTGGCTGCTGACCAAAGCCAAACACGGGATTGGTGCCTGGATCCTGGAGGTTATTAACACCTCTCTGAGGGATGGCTGGGTGCCCGCTCCTTTAAAGGAGGCAGTAATCAGGCCTGTCCTGAAGAAGGCATCCCTGGATTCAGAGATGGCCGCCAATTATAGACAGGTGGCCAACATCCTGTTTTTGGGCAAGGTGTTAGAATGGGTGGTGGCGGGACAACTCCAAGCACTCTTGGATGAGACTGGCTATCTGGACCCATTTCAGTCCAGCTTCAGACCCGGGTTTGGTACTGAATCTGCCTTGGTCGCCCTGTATGATGACCTGTGCAGGGAGAGAGACGGGGAGTGTGTCCCTGTTGGTCCTCCTGGACCTCTCAGCGGCTTTTGATACCATCTACCATGGTATCCTTCTGGATAGGCTGGCAGGATTGGGAGTAGGAAGCACTGCTTGGCAGTGGTTCCACTCCTACCTCGACGGCCGATTCCAGAAGGTGGTACTGTGCCATGGTGGCTATGCCATGGAGTACCACAGGGTTCCATCTTGTCCCCCTTGCTATTTAATATCTACCTGAAACCGCTGGGAGAGGTCATCAGGAGGTTTGGGCTGCGGAACCATCAGTATGCTGATGACACCCAGCTCTACCTCTCTTTACAACCGATCCAGGTGAGGCAGTGGCTGTACTGAACTGGTGCCTGGCCGAGGTAATGGGCTGGATGGGGGCCAATAAACAAACTCAATCCAGACAAGATGGAAGTCCTGTTGGTGGGTGGATCAAGCTCCTGGGCAGGTGGCCTGGACCTTGTCCTGGATGGGGTTGCATTCCCTCTAAAGGACAGGGTCCACAGCTTGGGAGTGCTCCTTGACCCAGAGCTGTCCGTAGAAGCTCAAGTGACTGCGGTGGTGAGGAGTGCTTTCCTTCAGCTTCAACTAATCTATCATCTGTGCCCCTACCTGGAGGAAGACTGCCTAACAACAGTGACACATGCATTGGTTACTTCCCGGTTGGATTTCTGTAACGCGCTCTATGTGGGACTGCCCCTGAAGACAGTCTGGATACTTCAGATGATGCAAAACAGAGCAACCAGGTTGCTGATGGGGACTGGGTGTTATTCTTACATAACCCCAGTGCTCTACCAGCTTCACTGGCTTCCCATCGAAGTCCGGGCTCAATTCAAGGTACTGGTTATTACCTATAAAGCCCTAAACGGCTTGGGACCTGGATACCTGAAGGAACGCCTTCTTCCATATTTGCCCTCCCACCCCTTGAGATCGGCAGCAGGGGCTCTCCTCCGGGAACCCTCTGTGAAAGATATTAGGAGGCAAAGTACCCGGAGGAGGGCTTTCTCTGCGGTGGCACCCCATCTATGGAATGCAGTCCGCAAAGAGGTCTGCCTGGCGCCATCCTTATTTGTTTTTTGGCACCAGGTTAAGACCTTTTTATTCCAGCAGTATTTTAATAAGTTTTAATATTGTTTTTTCTATGTTTTTAATTGCAGCCAGTGTGGGTCAAGGATTTTATTTATGCTATTACATTGTAAGCCGTCCTGAGGCTTTTTTTGTGATTAGGATGGCATATAAATATTTTAAATAAATAAATAAATAAATAAATAAATAAAATAAAATAACTGACTGTAGAAATGCTGTGGAAACTGTGCAGAACAAGCAAATCAAGACTACAGGTTTAGTATACTGATCAAGTACACTTCATTTTACTAGAAATTCCATTCTTCTTTCATCCTGTTATGTTAATGTTGTGTTTAAATAGTCTTGGTGTGCTAGCTGCACCTATTCTAAAATGAAAAGCAACCCCACCCTCCCTGATCTTGAATGGACCTTTCATGTGGATAATAGGGGTTTAACCCACCCCATACTGTTTTGCTGCCAAACGTGACCTCCAGATTTTATTTGCAGTCTCCAAAGGCACTGAGTTCTCTGTCCTTGTTCGATGCCACTGCCTCACATAGCACAGCTAAAACTGCTGCGTTAAATATTTGTCTTTAGAAGAACAAGATTTTCTGCTTCAAATATCTGTTTTCATAGGGTGAAGTCTTGTAGGTATGCATTTCAAAGAAAATATGCTTTTAAACAAGACACAGCTTGTGCTCAGTGGCATTCAGTTATCCCTGAAGTTGGTTTGCATTGCAAAGATCTTGGTGTTTTGCTCATCCTAATTTTAGAAAGCACAGCAATAGTGGGATTGCTACCATTTCCCTCTCATCCTGTGGTACCATTAAACAGATAAACTGTTGCAGGACAGCTATATTATGCTGGTGGAGCACCCCCATCAGGTTGAACACCCTAGGGCAGTGCCATTCAGTTGGCAAAGTCAAAATAGGGCACAGGCACAGTGGGGATATAGGTGACCCATGTACACCATATCCTACCTCCTTTGATCCATGTCTGCATCCCTGCCAATAGTGCAATTTTATACCAGCTGCAGACTTAATACAATAAGTTTTCTTCCTAGTGATCACAATGATAGGGGAAAAATACTGTCAAAGGTGTGCCTGTCTTTCCATGTGAGAATATAGGATGTGATATAATGCCATTCTAGCCCTTTGAGTAGACAGTACTGGACTAGATGGAGCAATGGCTTGAGTTTGTATGAGTCAGCTTCATATCTGCATCTGGTTTCATATGTTTGTATAATATACATGATATATTGTGCGTCTTGAACTTCTTGAATTCCCACGGTATATAAGTCACAGTTGCTCTTCTGTTATCCCCTAAAGGATTATTTCCATGAGCTGTGAAGTAATAGTCCGTGAAATGAAGCGATAAGAAATTCTAAGGGCATTTAACATTATTTGCTAATTTCATGAGTTGCTTCATTGTGCCAGTTCTAATTTCTTTATGCATATTAGGGAAAATAAAACAGATGTCTGTTAAGTTCTGATAATTACGTTCTCCTCAATTCTATACTTTGTGTATATGGACATTTTGATATTGTCTCTTTAACTGTAGACAAGGGCACCAGATATTTGGATGTGGACATTGCAGTTATTACTTTTGTAGTTAATTAACCAGAGACACAATCCTATGCATGTTTAGGCAGAAAAAGTCCAGCTACCAGCATTTTCCAACTAGCACTGCTGGCTAGAGAATGCTGAAAATTGTAGTTAGAGATGTAAAGTGTCCAGAAATCATGAAACCATGGAAGCAATGTTTTTTCAGTGTTTTTTTTAAAGGGAAAACAGAAATTTGGGTGGGGGGGGGAATGAAAAAATAACCAATATATCTTTTGTTCTCTTT